GTGAGGAAGACGTTTTTGAACTCGTCATGTATTTTCAGAGAATACTGTGACTGTGGGGCAAGACATAACTTTTTTTAATTATTAATTACTGGAATATATTTATTTCCAGGTATGTATCATGAGCAGTGTTACATACAGCAGTCAAATTCCAAGAACAGAGCAGTTCCGAAGGCAACTCAATCTGTACCCAGCCTGGATGCAAGTGACACAATGCGGTTGCTCGCTGGACCCAAAGTGTTATGGCGACCGTATATAGCATCCGCTCCATCACGTACTCCAATCATGATAACACAAGTACCAAAGGGTGGGGAGGATGGTGATAGCAAAGCGTTAGCTACATGGTCTCAGTATCCTTATGGTGAGTAACAACATGGGGCAAAGTGTCTAGACCCGCCCACAACACATCGTTTAACCATCATAAATGTTTGTTGTGAAAACAACTTCTAAAAACTCTCTCTCAAACAAAAAAATATATACAAAAAAAAGACGCTGACCAAAAAACCTATATATTGAATGATGCAGTGTTATAAAAATACGGCTCAGGAACGTGGCTTCCTCTCATATTTTGGCATTTGGTGGCACACATCCAGAAATAGATGATCATTTCAGGATCTCAAATTTACTTGGATACGAGTAATCATTTTCAGCAAAAAAATCAATAACTGCCAATTTCAGTGGGACACAGATCTAAAATGGGAAACGTGTGGGTGGGCACCATATAATCTGTAATTTATCAAACATTTCCAGGGTTCTCCACGGTTTGAAAATTAAACAGGGCGCGCCAATGTGAAGTGGGCGTGGCACATTTGTAACATGCATCATTGGCATGGATGTTGAAAAATGGGAACCAAAAAATTTATTAATCTACATATTAATACATATGCATAATATATATTTATTATTACAAAATGAATGAGAATTTTGAAGAGCTATTATTAAATAAACGTCAACACGTACAATCAGTTGATTTTAGCTGCACGATTCATCACACGGCGACATCAGTTTTTTACCAGTAATGATCGCGTCCAGAAAAAAACGTAACAAGTTTGTTAATTTATTTTTCCAAATAGATACATGCATGCTTTATTTAATTTTTAGCAAAAATTTATATTTATGAGTTATATTTATTTGGACGAAGCAAAATAAAATGTATGATGTCGCACAAACGTTCGTAATTGGTTCATTAAAAAACTTGCATGAATGGCACCAAAAAGCAAGATGATCAAACGAAATAAAATGTAAACAATAGAAGATTTTCGATCTGCAGTTAAGAGTTACTATCAAAAATAATAGAATTAGGTAAAAAAAACACAAAATACATACTTAAAAGCATAATTTTCATTTTTATCGAAAGTTTGTTGATGTCTGCTTCGTTGAAAACAGCTATGACCCGGAAACAGTTCATTTTACTGTGTGCACCCTGATACCGTACTATGTAACGATGCTTTTGATTGGCCAAAGCCACGCATTGACGCGAAAAACAGCCAATCAGAATATTTGTTCCAAGAAGAACACAAGTAAATTTATTTCCTCCACTTATGATGCGAGTTGAAAGCATGGCCGTTTTACCGGGGTTTTTAAATCGTGATTTACAGAAAATTCAACTTTAAATAGTGACACTTAAATATAAACATTTACATGTTCGAGCAAGCATTTGTGTGGACTTCTTGGTGATCAACAATGTCTGTGATGGTACGTCGGCTGCGCTGG